GAAGGCACAGACGGTTGGACAGATCTGGGCTATTAATTGTCTGTTGAATCTTGCTCTGTCTTGGTTAGAACTGCTAGACATCTACTGAGGGAGGTGTCATATTCTATTGTGAGGAAAATACATCTTTGGATGAAGGAAGGAAGTTGTTAGAGGCCTCAGATGAATGGGATCGCCTTAATAAAACTGAAATATAAAGAAATGTGCAGGCTGGTTTTAAAGAATGTATCTAACTGGTGTGAACTGGGGTGATTGTAAAAAGTCTCACCTCAAAGCCTTATCACAAACATCCCATTGCACAAGGCATCTATCTCGCAGTTCTTCCTGGCATTTGGCACCTTGAACTAACTTGTTACTTCCTCTTAGTAAGGCTATTGTTTTTCTTGAAGATAGGAGATAAGAAGAGGGGCAAATACACAAGGCATCTGTCTTGAAGGAGGATGAGATAAGGGGGGGCAGAAAATAACGAGATCTATTGCTTACTAATGTATGCCTGCATTATCATATGAATATGTATATGTATGCATTCTTTTCCCTTCCCCTTCTTGTACAAGTGTATATCAGGGTATCCATTTTGCCTGCAGGGGAGTGTCTCCCACTAACCCTTGGTGTCTCCCCTCCAGTGCGCACTGTCTAATAAACATCTGCAGTGAGGCCTTGATTATTTGGCATTTGAGTCCTGCATTTTGATTCCATACTTTCACTAATGGTCCTCTTGTTCAGGAGTTCACTTGTTGAAGACAGCAGTGGTTCACCATATATGAAGAAACCTATCTCTCAAGCCCTCCATACCTGACAGCTATAAGGCAGTATCCAATTTGCCATTCTTAAACAGGGTGGTTGAACAGGGAATGGGTATGTAACTCCAGGGCCTACTGGATGATAATGATTTACCTAGATTAATTTCAATTAAATTTCAGGACAGGGCATAGCATGGAGACTACTTTGCTTGCCCTGGTGGATGATCTGTTGAAGAGGCATGACAGTGGGAATGGCCTCTGCTTGTGCTCCTAGATCTCTCAACAGCTTTTGATACCATTGATTATGGTATCCTCTTGGACCACATAAGGGAGCTGAAGGTTGGATGAATAGCTTTGTCATGGATCTGCTTCTTCCCTGATGGCTGGTCTAAGATGGTAGTTTTGGGAGAGCAATGCTCTTCCCCACAGCCCTTGGATTGTCAGGTGCCATGAGACTATTCTATCGCCATTACTCTTTAGCATCTATAAAAAACTGCTGGGAGTGATGGTTAGAGAATGTGGAGGTGGTACCATTTTTATGAAGATGACTTTCAGATCTACTCATTTCCATCATCCTCAGGTGTGTCAGTCTCATAGTGTACTCTTGCCAGGCTGGATTGCAGGCTTGACAAACTGAAGGACTGCTACTCAGCATCAGTTCTGCTTGATTGTGGGGAGAGGTGCCTGCCCTGGATAAGGCTGTACACCTTCAGAAGACCAGGTCCATAGCTTGGGGGTGCTTCTCTTCTTAGCCGAGTATGATGGCAAGAGGTGCCTTCTATCAGCTGCATTTATCAACTTTGCCCTTTCTTGGATAGGGCTAACCTCCACAAAATATTCAACAAAGCTTCTCATGATACTTGTATTAATAAAGGGGTAAAATATGGGCCACATAAGGTAACTTTAGATTGATTTTTAATTGGCTAGGTGACTGCACCTAAAGAGTATTTCCCCTAAATGGTTCCACATCAGACTGGAGAATAGTATCAAGTGGAGTGAAACAGTGCTCTCTGTCTTGGGCGCTGTGCTGTTTAACATTTGTATTAGTGATTTGGATAAAAGAGTGAGGGACTGATCAGACTTGCAGAATGACACAAAACTAAGAGAGTGGCTTACACTTTAAGAGAGAAGGAGAAGATTAAAAAAGAATTAGGCTTTAACAGTGGGTTGAAATGAATATGATGAAATTTAACAGGGAGAACTGAAAAGTCCTGAATTTGACAAGAAAAAATGGAAGGCTCTAGGATGGGAGGGACTTGGCCTAGTAGTACTGTAATTGAAAAGGAACTGGGCTTTCTAGTAGATCATAAATGGCTGCTAAAAAAGCAAAAGCTATTTTGGGTAGTATTACCAGGAACACATAATCCCCCTACTCTACTTTGCCATATTCAAATCCCACACAGAATCTTCTGTCCAGTTCCAGGCATTGCAGTCTGAAAAGCTGAGTGTGATAGCATAACCAATGAGTTGAAACTACAGGGAAGGAGATTCAGGTTAGATATTAGGAGAATTCCATGACAGTAAGAGCAGTTAACCAATGGAATAGGTTGCCTCATGAAGTAGCATAATCCTCTTTACCAGAGATCTCCAGGCAGAGGCTGGATAGCCATCTGTCCAAAATACTTTAGCAGATCCTGCACCAAGTGGATTGGACTAGATGACTTCTGAGTTCTCTTGAACTCTATGACCTGACCTCTCTAATCCACACTGTGGTTACCTCCTAAACATATTAATGTAATAGTCTTTATCTGGGGATGTCTTTGAAGGAAATTGAAAAGCTGCAGCAGGTCCAGAAGAAAGCAGCCAGGCTTCTGTCACACGTTCCTCATTGGAGGCATGTGACACCAGTCCTGGGTCAGCTTCACTGGCTATGAAATCCATCCATCCATCCATGCATCCATCCATTTAGCAGTGCTTATATGCCATCCTATCTTGGGGTGGACTCTGAGTCCATGCAATGAATATCCAATTTAATACCAAATATCAAAACAAACACACCAATTTAACAACATAATAGTATAATAGATAATAAAATAAAGAAACAATTTCCATGATGGGCACCCCAGAAAATCAACTCAGGCCAAAGGGTTGTTGGAATAGTATAAATTTTATCTGTCTGTGAAATGCAAGGAGGGTAGAAGCTGCATGTACCTCTAAGGGAAGGGTGTTCCAGAGAGTGGAGGCCAATATAAGGAACGCTTGACATCCTGTCTGTATTCCATGGCTTGGGACCTGACCGCTTAAAGCAGTGTTGTCCAAACTTGGCCACTTTAAGATGAGTGGACTTCAACTCTCCCATGCTGGCTGGGGAATTCTGGGAGTTGAAGTCTACTCATCTTAAAGTGGCCAAGTTTGGACAACACTGGCTTAAAGGAAGCACTCTCCTATTATATTACCAACCAGGAGTGGGGCTCATTAAGTAAAGATGGCTCCAATGCTATGGATTTTCCCCTCCCTGATGTACAGGTAATCCTCAGTTTAAGAATGAGCTCTATTCCCAAGATCTGTCCTTAAGTCGAATGTGTATGTAAGTCAGAACAATATTATTGTATAATACTGTATAAGTAGTATTGTGTAATTAACTCAAACCATTGTGATTTAACTCAAATCATTGTGTATTTAACTCAAATTTTGCTACAGTAGGCTCTGTTCTCAACTCTGGGACGTCTGTAACTCGGGTATTCTTAACCTGGGGACTACCTGTACATTATTGGCCCTCTCTGATTGCTTTTAAATTCAATTTGAAAAACTACAGTGGTACCTCGGGATACGAACTTAATCCGTTCTGAGACTCTGGGCATATCCCGAGTTGGTCGTAACCCG